TTGTTATGTTCTGTTATTCTGTGTATGTTTGTCATCAATACAAATGCAATGTGCAAAAACATTTCAGTATTCCAATCAAGATAAAAGGGATACTGGTATTGCCAATGTATGTCGATGTTGTGTGACAATACAGTCATTTCATCTATTTAATGCTCTGAAATATGGAGAGAGAAAGAGGATCTCTTTAAAACCTTATTAAAGTAACATGTACATGTAATAACACGTTGCATAAGTTCATCCCTTTTCACTCAATTTGTCTTTCCGGTAAAGTGCATTTCTTTTTTGCTTGTTTCAATACTATTAATTATGTGTATTTTAAGATTGGTGTTGGTATCATTTGAAAGGGAGATTAATTTCCTTCAACTTTTGTAGAAAACAGTTTGTGCTATAAGACATATGATATAAGAAGTACAGACAATGGCATTTGAAAAATGAGCATTATTTGTGTGTTAGTAAAATGTTATACCAAGCAAACCCCCTTGGCTAAATAAGAGTTAAATATACATTTTTAGTTTATACATTTCCAACATAATTTTAGAATATTGTATTGCAAGATTATTGGGTCTCTATTTTTTCCTTCTTTTTCTTCTTCTAAGAGTGGGTTATGCATATATACCTGTATGTTAGACAGAAGAATTCTTGTGAGTTCCATGTCTGTTCTTCACTTGAAGAAGGGAGAGATCTTATGAAAATTTGTGTGCAGGGAAACCTGTATATAAAGACCGCTTAAGGCTGGAAACACTAAAAGTAGTCTTTAATTATCGGCAGGTGGTCTGTATGTACAGACATTTATACAATTGTATTTGTGTGTTGTCCTTCTATACAGGTGATATACTATTGCAGGTTTGATGTACTTGATCACTAATAAAAAGTTGGAAATTACAAAGCATGAAACTTGCAAGAACTCTTTGTTTTATTATTTAAATCATATATTTTAGACATTTGTACATTTATATTTGTGTGAAGGCCATTTAAAGTATTGAGATCTTAGTTGGCATTTCTTTTATTGACTTTAGGGAATAGATTTTTCTGAAATATATTTTTTCTTTCGTGTGGGATTAAGTTTCTATCTTCTAACACATTAATGAATAGTCCATTGTTATACCAATTTTTGTGTGTAGTGTGTTTCTCTGTATGTGATTTTGATCAGGATTATGTTTATTTCTCATCAATTTGATGAATCCAAAACCCTGGCCTAAACATTACTGTCGTATACAATCTACTTTCATAAATAATAATACTGGTTTCTCGCCCATTCATTGACTAAAGCACTTACAATATTATTGTTACCCCGGTCTCTGGACTCAACTGCTCTTCTGCACATTAAGCACACATTCTCCTCTCCCTAGGGGGCATTCCAGCTAGTCGCCTTTTTAAGGGAGTGCAAATCCAATCACAATGACATTTGCATCCTACCGGGTACCCAATTAAAACCAGAGTGGTGAGGATCGGGCAATGTAGATAAGTAGATAATTGCCCTGCTCAAGGACATCAGTGCCATGCTGGGGTTTGAACCCAGGACCTTTGCATTTCAATTCAATTGATTAAACCACTTGACTACGCAACAACTTTCTAATAGATTCTAGACGATTTCTCTCGGAACGTCATCACATGACCAGCACTAAACATTATCTTTGAAAGAAGAAATCAACTTTTTTATCCTATACACGGTGGCCCCCCAAAATGCTACACCTGAGATCTGCAATTTCAGCTTTGACACAATATGTCATTTGGTTTTGTTTTAGTGGGTTCAAAATTCTTTTCCGATTAACATCGCACCAAAAGTCATAAATTTTGGGTAAAAGCAATTCGATTCAACGATGTCGTTAAAATTACAGATCTAGGGTTCTTTTTGCGCGACCATGTATAAAGAATCGGGTTTAGCATCAGAGAAATATAACATGTTGAATATTAAGCATTTATTTCAATAGTTTGTAGTGTGCAATATTGTTGAGGTGATAATCTAATGCATTCTAGTTGTGTTTCTATTATTTGTATACATGTGTATATAAATTGAAATATGTCTGGTATTCAATGAAAAAATCATGTAAAAGGTTAATGAAGTAATCGTGCATGGTGAATTCAGGCATTGAATATGTTAGAATTAGAATAAAATGAGCACTTAATTTCAAAAATAAAGTTACCATTTTCGTTCGAAGACTACATATTGATGTCATTCAGTGGCGTAGAATGGGCTTAGTCATTTAGAGGGGGGGGGGGGGGGGCACCAGTCTTTAGTCTACTAGAACTGCGTTATTCAACTTTTTTTTTTAGTCACGGCACCCTTTTAGGAGTTAAAAAGTTTTGCATCACCCAAATCCCGAATTCATCAAAGAGGATTTCTTTTCCATCCTTTGTACACAAAGATGTACTGGCACTTTTTCCTGTAAAATGGCCTCTTGCCCAAAAATATATCATTCATATCCCAAATATACGAGCGAGCGAAGCAAGCCAGCAAAAAAATTGCAAAATGTTATTTAGTCATCAATATACACTATATAAGAGCAAAATTATATACGCGGTCATCTCGTTGCCAGGAATCGTCCTCATTTATCAATTTTGCGAGGATGAAGTAAACGAGGGAGACAAAACACTTTATTGTAGTTTAAATTTCATTTCGATACAAAAGCATATAAAAAAGGTCATAATCAGGCGCCGTGCTGCCCGAATCATGACGATATTCGGGTAGTGGGGTTCCTGCATTATTAGCGAATCATTAACTGTGTGGTCATTGGCTTCTGTACAGTACAAGGGACCTTGATAATGAGCGAGATATATTGATCTTCTTTTTCTGGTGCGCTACTCTTATCTTTACAGAGACATTATCAATAGTTTAACCGAGGACGACCCTTAAAATCATTACTCACTGACATTTTTTTGTGAGAATACTGGCGAGTATTATTGATTTGGATCAGAGAATCCAGAAAAATGTAGGGCCCACATATTGCACGTTTCCTATGTTAACTATATAGGGGGAGGAATAGCTCTACCCCCGCCCCCAGCCCCCACCTGCCAAAAAGAAAATTATTAAATAAATAAATGAATAATTATAAAATAAACAATCATTTCAATACTTTAGGCCTACTGATATTTTTTTTCTGTAGTCAAATAAATGAACCAAAATGATCAACTCTTGTTTCTTGGTTAGATTTCATAAACATATAAAGTGTGCCATAATTTATGACTAGAACAGATTCTTGTCGTTATGAATATCTCATCTTTGAGTGCGTGTGCACACTTAATTACCCTATGAATCCATCATTCCCCACGAATTCACCAAGAGTTTGACGGGGGCGTTTGTCGCCAAGACGTCCGAATAGAGAACAGTCGGTGGCAGTGAACGACAACAAGTACATATAGGAATAGAAATGGTTTACTATCACAATAAAATGCCCCGGCCCCCCCCCCACTCCGAGAACAAACAGACCCCATGCGTGTTACCAAAATGTCTGGTAAAGGGGTACTTTTCGTGCGACAAAGTCCGGCCCGAGAATTGTAAAAAAGGGGTGTATTAGATTTTCACCCGGAGATTTCTTTAAAAAGGTTTTTTTTTTTTTCTTTTTCTCTCATCTCTTTGGACTCCTGAGAAATTATTTCGAATTTAGGGGGGGGGGGGGTACATTGAGCATTTTTCATGATTTAGGGGGGTTTCCAAGGCAGGAAAAGCCCGCGAAAGGGGGGTTCAGAAATGTTGGCAGTCCTCAGATAGGGGGTGCTTTCAAAAAGAGGGAACAAGCATATGCGTACCTTAAATAACACTGAGTGGGGGGGGGGGGGGGGGGGGGGGGGGGGGGAGGGGGGGGGGGAGGGGGGGGGGGAGGGGGGGGGGGCTGGTAAAATGCTTGTTTTTACTTTAATTGTCTAATTTATTTTTGTATAAAATAACAAACTAACAACATTTTGAATATAGATTTCTGAAAAAAGTAAAAAGGAATAATGTAAAATATTCCGTCGCCACGGACAATTTGATGTAATACTATATGCGCGGGCTTTCCCGATGAATCTTGGTTGTTTTAGAGGTAAATCGTAAATCATGAGGACACGCTACTCCAATAAAATGCTTTATAGGTAGTTATTATTAGTATTATCATTGTTGTAATTATCATCATCAAATTCATTATGGTTGTTTTTATTGTCATTATTATCATTATCATTATTATTACTATTATCATTATTATTACTACTATTATTATTAATACTATTATTATTAAAATTAATATAACAGTTTACTTTAAACGAGCGTTTCCTAGAAGGCTATCGTTCCCGTACCGTTTTTCTTAAGTATTACGAGCCGGAATTTTTGTTGCGTGAAAAGTACCCCTTTACCGGAGATGTTGGGAACATGAGTGGGGGGGGGGGGGGCCGCAGATTCTAATTTGACACATTATCTCAACTCCTAAAGCCTTAATTGAGCGGAGCCTAGTTTTGTCAGTCTCTAGCTCTGGCTATGTTCGAAAAAGCTAATAAGCAGAGAGTTGAAGGGGGTGTACGTCAGGCGCGGATCCAGGATTTCTTAGGGGAGGGGGCCCAACTTTTTTTTTGTTGTTGCTCCCGACCGAAAATGTGAAAATCGCGCAGGCCGAAAAGTCGTTCAGTGGGGGTGGGGGGGGGGGGGGGGGGGGGGGTAGTGAGCACATTTTTTTTTGGTCCTCAAAAATTTAAAAATTTGCACCCTCCCCCCCCCCCCCCCCCCCCCCCCCCCCCCCCCCCCCCCCCCCCCCCCCCCCCCCCCCCCCCCCTCGAGCGCCTGGGGCCAACCCCCCCAAAAAAGGTAAAAAATCACGTGTTTTTACATGATTTTCTCAAAGGGGGGCCGGGCCCCCCGGCCCCCCCCCCCCCCCTGGAACCGCCACTGGTGTACGTAGCATGGCAAATAAAACGTCTGGCTTTATCATCCACGATTCTGCTAAAGTGGATCTCCAATATATTATATCCACCACTAATAGCATAAATTAGCCGCCCTCTATAGACAAAAATAATGAATACGTACAATACCGCCAGTTCAAAGGTGCTACGCGCGCTCTCTGTGGGAAAAGGGGAAAACCCATTTTTATTCATAGGATGCACAAACTGCATTATATGAACAGACAATCTAGCGCGTGAGTTAACCATTGCAGCCTCATTTTTATACACACTTGAATAGAGAATGAAAACTTTTGATCAAAGATAGGCGCATCTCTTTCGACGCATATTATCAACCAACATCAGAACTGGGATTCATGATATTGATTCAATTTACTATAGATCTAGATCTATATTATATACGTCACTGCATATTGTTTGAGCTTGCATGAACCGACTTCGTAGTTCGTACATTAGCTGATCACACTTTATTTTATTGGACACTGGATGTATGCGAACAATGAGCTCGTGTTTGTAATTTGCCAGAAAGCTGATATTTGTAACAATGGCTGAGAAGGCTACAGAAGATAAAGCTCCAAGCTCTTCACACAACCTGACGTGTCCGCTATGTCTGGATATCTTCGACGAGGCAACCATCCTGACTTCATGCGGACACACCTTCTGTCGGAAGTGTCTCAGGAACTATGACCTGTCCCATCAGGATCGCGATCACATGATCTGTCCTCTCTGCAGAGAGATCACCAAGTTGTCGGCGAACCGTGTCGATGATTTCCTCCCCAATGTGACTGTCAACGGACTCGTAGACGATTACCACGTCGAATGTAGAGGGATGAATGCTGTCCTTGAGATGCGTCCAAAATGCACTGCTTGCATAAGTCAAAGGGAGGCTGTGTCATTCTGCAAAACCTGCAACAGTTATTTGTGTGAGCAGTGTCTAACCTGTCATCAGAGTTTGTCTTTGATGTTTAAGGCCCATGAGATTGTATCCATGCAGGATATCATCAACGGGAAGGTCAGCATTGGTCATCTATCCAAGAAGTGCTTCATCCACAAACAAGAGAACAAAGATATGTTTTGTGAGGATTGTAAGGTCCACGTCTGTTTCAAGTGCGTGATCGTTGGTCATCAAAATCACAAAATCAAGAATCAGGCTGACTTCGAGCAGGAGTTACGGCTTAAGGTAAACGTGGTTTCATTTAAGGTACCGTAGGCGCCGGAAAGGGGGGGGGGGGGGGTGGGGCAGAGGCACACATAGGAGCATCACTCTCCTGGCTGTGTAGTAAAAGCTGTGCTTTTGATTCTCAACATTTCAAACACCACTGTACAAAACTCAACTAATTTCACTCAAAATCGGTACTTTAGTGACAATTGATGACACCTAAATAGCAGTAAAATACATTTTTTTTAACTTACTGATGTTAAAAAGAATAATTTAAAAATTCAAATTGTAAGTCTAGTGTCAAAGTCTAGGGGCCAACCCCCCAAAAGGTAAAAATCACATGTTTTTACATGATTTTTTTCTCAAGGGGGGGGGGGGGGGTGGGGGATCCGCCACTGTTAGTAAACGTGGCTACATTTCATAGCTAAATGTTCTTTTTCACTTCTCTGTTATTTCTTTTGTTAAGGTGAACGACCTTGTCCAGCGATGTGCCACTAAGAAATCAGAACTGGAGAAGAACATTCAATTTGTGGAAGTACAACGCCATGAAGTATACACTGCTGTGCAGAAAGTTCTGGACGATATCAGTCAAGCCTACAGCATCAAGGCTAAAGAGCTTGAAGAAAATCATCGAAATCTCATCGAGCAAATCAATGCAGTAAAGCGGAGTTTCGAGGACGACCTCTACGTCTTAAAAACCAAGGATCAACAGAAGATCAATAGTATTTGTAGTTCAATAACACTGGTAGCTAATGACAGACTGGGTCGCCTTGAGACAGATAGTCTGTCTGCTCATCCCTTGCTCTGTGAGGAGCTGGATGCGATACTGAAGGAGGCTACTGATCACACTTCTGCAGCAGACATTACAAAGAAAGCACAGGAGAAGTGGTTTAGGCCTGCAGATGGTACTCGTCTTGAACTCGGGCGTATCTCAGAATCAGATCCCAAGTTGCAGGTCATTCAGTGTGTAGACCTACGAGGAATGATGTATGGAATGACCCAGTACTCTGATTACAGTGTGGCTATCGGATATGGTGATAAACATAGTATAGATGTAATTGATTCAGCTGGTTACAAGTACCAGTGTACAAACATACTAAGTAAAATGAAGTGTCTTGATCTTGTATTTCAACAAGACAGGTCGTTATGCATTTGGCCGGGTAACAACCAAGCACACATGTATTCACCCAATGGCTCCACGAAATCAACCATCCGCATGAACAGCAGTGGCTTTCTGGGACTAAACAGAAGTCCATCAGATGAAATCCTTATCGCTACCAATGAGAAGCAAGTCTATATTTATGACCCGACTGGATCCACTCTCAAACACACTGTTCCAACAACACACAACGAGACGATGCAGATGTCTGCCACCAGGTCGGGTTTGATCGTCACGAGTTCATGTAACACCAATCCAAGCGTGGTGACGGTCTATGACAGGGATGGTAATGCTGGTAAGTCTCTACAAGCTCCATTCGGTGTCTACCTGTTTGCTGCCCTGGATGAGCAGGACAGAGTTTATGTAGCGAGCTTTGATTGTAAGAATGGTAGCGTGGTTATCAGGCTCTATGACCTTCATGGTCTGAACCTGAATGAGAAAGTTGAGTTCAATGCACTTAATATGACGGTTTGTCGTAATTGGTGTTACTTGGTTTCACTCTCACCAGACATGCTCGCGTTTGCTTGTGACAAGAAGTTGTATTTCATCAAAGTATCACTGTAATCCAGCTCACACTCTAACCATTATTTGTAGTGTGTATACCTCTCTGCATCAGATGTATAACAGGGGCCTATGTTTCATATTCTAATGTTTATTTATTATGTGATAAATAACCGAACGGGAAGATTCTCTCGATAGATTTTAATTGCCTGAATACAGTTGTCATTATCCAATAACATGAAAACTTCCCTCTATCGAAATAGTGTGTTATAAACAAGTTTTAAAATGCATATATGCTTTTTTCATTCTGTACTTGTTTTCTCTTTTATGTTTGAACAAATGATCGGTACTGCAAAGTACTAAGTTCAAGATTAAAGACTTTAGTATGACAGAAATGGTTGCTATATTATTTGTGATATCACTTGAAACGCAATCAAAATATGAAAGTGATATGACATTATCTGTATAACTTGATAATTGAACACAAATATTGATTTACTTCTGCGATATTTTATATACAAGTGATATTTCTCATGTCGTTAATTATAATGTATTTTAAAGTTTATTTTGCTTATGTTTATATAACATGATTTTTAATAGAAATAAATAATACTGACTTTGTAAGTAGGACCCCATTGTAACTTAAGCTATTCCGCTTTCCTGGTCATCCAGTTAATATTATTATTATTTTCTTTTATAATTATAATAATATTTCCGCTTATATAGCGCTTAATACATCGACAAGTCCAAATTTTTAAGCGCTTTACATTTATTACCCCCGGTCGGCTTGCCCGCAAACAATGTTATGCACTTTCTCCACTCCCTGGGGAGCATTTCAGCAAGAGCTACTACTACTAGGCTCAAATTGCTAAGCATACTACATTGGCTTTCGCATCCTACCGGGTACCCATTTAACCCATGGGTGGAGAGTGGCAAATGTAGATCAATATCTTGCTAAAGTACATGTTAAAAAACATGACAAACCAGTTGATATGTTTGTAAGAAGATTACATCTCAGCAATTGCTTGTGCGCATAAGCGACCTAGCGATTTGGGGACAACCATCTTCTTTCTATCGTTCTTTTACCAACAAAAATTATTCGGTTAAAAAAAAAAATTTAGGGGGAGGTTCTGATAAGTGCGGTGGAAATTGCAGTTACTTTATGTTTTTGGCGAAAAAGAAAGTCAATTCTTATTGGTGAAATGGCGCGACTATTTCGATTCACACACATGGTCTTTATACTGTTTTGTAGACAGTTTTGTAAAGTACCTTAAACACATGTCTCAAAGTTCGTATTTTTTTTAATAATCCTCTTGTTTTTCGAAAAGAAAAATTAGAATATAATAAAATAAATGTATACGCTAAAAACCTAGCTTATAATAACATGTACACTATTTTGATTATACACATGGTATTGTTGATTGACACTGGAAGAGTCCTTTAATTGATGACAGAGAAAGAGGAAGAGAATGAAAGAAATGGAAAGAAATAATGGAATAACAGAGGAGAAAGAGGGGATGAAAATTAAAGTAATGAAAGCAAATAAAACGTCTTGCTCTTTTATCCAGGATTCTACCAATTAAAGTGGAACTCCAACATTATATTTACACCACTGAAAGCCTAAATAAGTTTCAAAAACAGAAATGAACACCGCCAATAAGTTCAAATAATGTAATTATTGCTCTTATAAATTGCCATTGTATTTGTTATTACTTTCTTGTTGTTTTATAACTCCATTCTGTATTTGTATGTTTTAAATGTTTTTATGAAGAGTGTTGAATAAACTTTGAATTGAAAACTTTGATTTATAAGGTGCATGTTTATACGCTCTGTGGGAAAACTCATTTATATTCATAGGATGCACAAACTGCGTGATATTGACAATCATCCTATACTCAAGTGTGATTTTATCATGGTAACCACATTGGTATTCAAGTTCACAATTGGAAAGAGAATGGTTATGTGTGTGTGTGTGCCTCAGTTGAGATGTCTAATTTTCATTCGAGCATCAAAATAAAGTTATGAGAAGTAATAAAATTAAGCACTATGTTATCAATATGTTATCAATACAAAACACATATTTTACTTCCTATACAATATTTTGCTACTAACCATTTAAGGTGTTTTTAACAATTTCTCTAAACTTTTGTCTGTGTTTTTTTTAAAGCTCCTGATTTATGAGTAGTCTGTGTTTTTTTTCTCTTTAAAATACGTGCTTTACTCTGAAATGCTTTTTATTAAAATCATACTTAAAAGTTCTGGAAGACTAACATTTTGTATATACACCATAATGCGATAGTTATTACAACATCCACTTCTCTGCCATTTTTATTTTAAGGCAAACGAGATATCCACGCCAAAATCAATATTACAAAAATATGGCAACTTATTTGACATAATCAAGGACATTTTGATTACTTCACATTCAATGAACACATGGACAATGTCTTTTATTACGTGGTACTGGTGACAGTTTCCGTCGTCTGCTAATCACCATTCGTAAAGGTTGTTTTAAACAGGTAATTTAACTCTTCAACGATGTTCCCTTGTATACGTTTAATGCCTTTTGAACACGGAAGACTAATTATGTAAGTGCAATATGGCCTACATATTCTATTTGATATCACTTTTCTTAATATCAGCTCTTTGAGACAGACATGATTCACATTATCATTGTTAGAAGTCTAACCTATAAATAATGTTTACGAGAGGAAGTGGAGAATGTTTTTTTCAGGTGAATTTCGCATTGTAATAAGTGTCGCCAAGTAGGTTTCCATATAAGAGAATTTTTGACAGTGAAAGAGAAGAGAATGAAAGATTGGTGGAAGAAGATAAAGGAAGAAAAGCGGATAAAGAAGGGGTGCAATGTAAGTGTGGTTACCGTCCCTTAACCTTCCAAACAAAACGATAACAGCAAATAAAACCTATGATTCGAATAAAGTGGATCTCCAACACAATGTATCCACTACTAAAAACTAAAGAAGTCGCCCTCTATAGATAAAAATGATGAATACCGCCATTCAAGTTCAAAGGTGCATACGCTGGGCGCGCTCTCTGTGGGAATACCCACTTCTATTCATAGGACGCACAAGCTGCATTATTTTCACAGACGATCTACTTCATAATAAGTGCGAGCGTACATCATTGCAATCACATTTGTATTGATGTATACACTTGGATAGAGACTCAGTACTTTTGATCAAAGTTATTCGCACCTCTTTCGACACATATTTGTAATCAACGTGAGAAATTGGTATAGAACTGCATGCAGTTATAGGACGCACTTGTTACGTAGACTCAGGATATTGGTACAATCTACTACGTCGCTGCATAAAGTTTGTGCTTTCGTGAACTGATGTTGGCTTCAAGTACACGTTAGCTGATCACATATAATCTTTATTGGACATTGGATATATTCGTAGAATGAGCTCATTTTTGTAATAAGCTGGAAATCCGATATTTGTACCAATGGCTGAAAAGACTGAAGAAGAGAAAGCTCCAAGCTCTTTAGAGAACCTGACGTGTCCACTATGTCTTGAAATCTTCGACGAGGCAACCATCCTGACTTCATGCGGACACACCTTCTGTCGGAAGTGTCTCAAGAACTATGACCTGTCCCATCAGGATCTCGATCACATGATCTGTCCTCTCTGCAGAGAGGTCACCAAGTTGTCTGCGAACCGTGTCGATGATTTCCTCACCAATGTGGCTGTCAACGGACTCGTAGAAGATTACCACGTCAAATGTGGAGGGATGAATGCTGTCCTTGAGATGCGTCCAAAATGCACTGCTTGCAAACGTCAAGAAGAGGCTGTGTCATTCTGCATAACCTGCAACGGCTACCTGTGTGAGCAGTGTCTGACGAGTCATCAGAATATGTCTTTGACGTTTGAGGCTCATGCGATTATACCCATACAGGATATCATCAACGGGAAGGTCAGCATTAGTCATCTATCCGAGAAGTGCTACATCCACAAACAAGAGAACAAAGATATGTTTTGTGAGGATTGTAAGGTCCACGTCTGTTTCAAGTGCGTGATCGTAGGTCATCAAATTCACAAAATCAAGAATCAGACTGACTTTGAGCAGGAGTTACGGCTTAAGGTAAACATGGTTTCATTTAAGGTAACGTAGGTGCCAGGAGCAGGGAGGGGGCAGAGAGGCTGATGCAATAATAATAATAATAATAATAATAGTCATAATCATAATCATAATAATAATAATAATCATAATCATAATAATAATAATAATAATAATAATGATAATAATAATAATAATAATAATAATAATAATAATAATAATAATAATAATAATAATAGCCTAATAGTCCACTCCAAATTTTATTAAACCGAAACGGAAATTCTTTTTGCCCAATTGAAAGTGAGCCCGGCAGCCATTGAGCAGCGCCAGATCGACGTTGCTCTATCCCTTATTGTTGAACGCCAAACAAGGTAGCAACAACTCCCATCTTTTAACGTCTTTTGGTATGACGCGGCCGGGGTTCGAACCCACGGCCTCCCGGTTGTGAGGCGGACGCTCTACTGACTGAGCCAACACTCCAATAGTTCGATTCGGGGACGTACGGGGGGGGGGGGGGGGGTGGGTGGCCTCGCAAAGGAAAACAGACAAATTGTATGTATTTCCTTATGATAAAATTACAAGTGCTCTGAAATGTAAATTTTCAGCATCCTAATATCAACAAGTCCCCCCCCCCCCTCCATCATAACGCTCCTCGAATATTACTAGCTGGACCCGATGTTTTATTATTGTAAACCCCTTTCTACAATATAGGCACCACAAGCATGGCATCAGATACGCCCCCCCCCCTTGACAAGAAATATTTTGAAGCAAAAGCCCTGTCAACAGATGAGTTCTCTAAAATGCAGAATTTAAACATTCCAAAACCTCAAGTTACTCAGCTGTTGGTAGCTAACCTGCTCTACAAATTATAGAAAGAATTGCAATCATATGTGTATACTTTAGACAGCCATCTCTATTATGAGGAAGCAAAAGCTAGGGGCATATTATTCCCTCTATCTGGGGTTGAGCCAACTTGTCTCTGCCCCCTCCCGCTTACATTTTAAAATATCTTTACAAACAAAATAATGAGGTTTGTTATTTCTGCCTCCCATGCCAGACAAACAAATTTGACATCAATAATTTTGCAAAGCAATAGAGGTTCTAAACAACAAAATGTTACCATTCCATATTTCAAAATTCTGTCTTGGTCGCTACGCTCCATCGCACGTACCCTTTCTGATATGTACGAAAAAAGGTCAGTGGGGAGAAGGCATACGATAATTTTATATTATAGCAGACTAGAAAAGCTTTTAAGTGCTCTGAAATACGGTTTTAAATTTCCAAAACGCTATCTTTTTCCTCTCGGTCGTTAGACTTTGTCGCAATTTAATAGTCGGAAGGTTTCTTATCATTGTACCCTGTCTACTACATAATGCGCTTGAAAAGGATAGGGTGCGAAGTTCAAAGCTTCTCTCTAGTAAAGGGGGTAAAACCGCAATGTTGATACCCCTCCCAGAAAACAAGCTCTTTCTCTTGCTCGCTTTTTTATCACTGATATGCAAATCATTTTTTGAAGTAGGCTTTTCCGATGTGTTTCAAACTATACTTGATTACACTTTTCAATTTCACATAAGCATTTCCCCCCTGGGTCGCCACACTAACTAGCCAAATAATAACATTTCTGTCGAGTTATAGATGAACCTTAGTATTATAGAAACTCTTTAATATTAGGTATCTTACGTTTTATGGAAATAATAACTTTGAATATCTTAAATCTGGCTCTACGCATTAAAACATATGTTTTTAAAGATAGCTACATTCCAATACTACAAAAAAAAAGAGGAATACAATGTATTTCTGTTTTGTTGTTTTTGAAACTTTTATACATTATTCTTTGTAATTATAAAAAAAGGTGTTTGTTGCGGAGGAGGGGATGTTTAATGACGGTAGTAAACGTGGCTACATTACATTGCTAAATTGTCGAAAATCCGTACGAGGTGCTCCCCCCCCCCCCCCCCGCCTCCATTCAGTTGAAACTCTTCCGGCGCGCCTTGAAGGTACGA